CAATCATCCACTCGAATGATTGACTAACCAATCAGTCAGTCCGTCAATCAATCAATCAATCACGCAGTTAGTGTATCAATCACTAGATCAGTCAATTAGTCTGTTAGTGAGTCGATATATCTATCAATCACCCAATCAATCTATTAGTTTATCACCCTATCAGTCTACCAGTTTGTCAATCAATTAGTCGAACGATAAATCAGTCAGTCCATCGATCATCCAGTCAGTCTATCGATCAATCAATCGATCATTCAATCAATCGATTGTTCGATCAATCGATCAGGCGGTCAATCAATCAGTCAGTCAGTCAGTCCATATTCGATAGTTCCACGGTTCGGGACCCGACAACTACACAGACCCGTGACATACAACATTCATCTGCCAAAACACAGGTCAAGGTTCAAAAGGTCTATCTATCAATCAATCACTCACTCAGTCACTGTTTAAGTATATCAATCAGTCAATCATTCTGCCAACTGATCAATATGTCACTCAATCATTCTACCAGTCTATCAGTCTGTCACTCAAACAATTAAATAATGAATCAATCAACGAATCAATCAATGAACCAATCAATCTATTATACAATCAATCATTTAAACAGTCGCTCAGTCAATCCACATACGATAGTTATATGGTGCAGTCAATTTGTCAGTCAATCAATCTATCGAATTGGTCAGTCTGTTATTCAATCATTCAATCATTCAATCAGTCGGTCGATCAATGATGCAGTCAAACAGTCAATCGACCAATCAGTCACTCCATCGATCAATCAGTCGGTCTTTCGATCAATGAATCACTCAGTCAACCAATCAATTGATAACTCAACCAATCAATCTATCAACCGATCCATCAATGATCAATCAATCAATCAATCAGCAAACATTGACCCATACGATCATTCAAACGTTGATCCACCATTTAAACATTTATCCATCATTCAATCATTCAATCGTTCGGTCCATCAATAAATCAGGACCAATCGATTAGTCAATCAGTCTGTCAATCAATCAATCATTCATTCAATCAATCAATCATTCATTCGATCAATCAATCAATCAATCAATCAATCAATCAATCAACAAATCAATCAATCAATCAATCAACAAATCAATCAATCAATCAACAAATCAATCAATCAATCAACAAATCAATCGATCAATCAATCGATCAATCCTTGAAAGCTAGGCCGAAGGATAATTTGATTATTAACACAAATATTTTAATGACTTAATCAATCAATCAATCAATCAATCAATCAGCCTATCGATGTACCGAATCAGTCAGTCGTTCATTCAATCATTCAATCAGTCCGTCAATCAATTAATCAGTCATTCAATCAATCGACCAATCGATTAGTCAATCAGTCTATCAATCAATCAATCAATCAATCTATCAATATGCAAACCCTAGAACCCCATAATTTTGTTTTTCGAATTGACTTCATTTCTAGGCTACCAGAGTGGCCGAGGTCACTTGGATCGGACGTCCGGGACCCCCCTGCCCATTCGCGATGTCCGATCAGACGTCTGGTCAGACATTCGACTGGACAACGGTTATCCGACCTCGCGCAAAAAAAAAAAAAAAAAAAAAAAAAAAGGTTGTTAGAAAAATCTGAAATAAATATATGTTATATAACATAACGATACAAGCAACTTTTGCCTTGGAGTCATGTTCAAATTCGCAGTCAATCACGAGTTAAGAATCGAAAACCGAAAAAAAATATATTTTTTTTTACAAAAATAAAATCTTTTTTTTTGGGACGACGAGGGTACCGGACGTATGGGGGAGACGTCCGGGGGAGACGACCGGCCCCCGGACCATTGGTAACCTAGTATATATATATCGTCAAATAGAACTGCCCGGTAAACCGCAGGCAGAGAGGGAGAAGAGGACAACAAATGAGGGGCTGTGACAAACTGTTTCGTCGGAGTATATATATATACATCGTCATTATATATCGTCAAATATATATATATATATATATATATATATATATATATATATATATATTTTCAATTTTATTTTGCATTTGAAGAAATTCGTTGTGACCCTGGAACCTTGTCCCACTTGCACCATTTAGTTGAGGCAGCTCAACGGTGCGACAGCTAAAAAAAATCATTCTAATTCAATTTCAAATGAGAAATGCATTTATAAATGGCACGGATACAATTGTTCCGGTTTTTCTTTTTTCACAATTGGAGTGGCATACGGGCACTTCCACAGCAGAAAATGAAGAGTTGCCAGCATCCCGTCCAAAAATGGTAGAAGGAAGGAGGCTTGTACAGTTTCTCTAAACAGCTAGCTCAACGGAAAGTGGCGAGGGTAAAGGGAGTAGCATTCGAGAGAAAGGATTTACTGCTGCTTTTTGTTGTAAGAAAAAGCAAAGATAGTCTTTATTGCCTTTTTCTATTAAAAACGGACCGCTAGATGACTTGGATGACGTGCATCCCCGTTGTCGCGTACAGTCACACAGTGTCGAAAACCCAACGTTGACCTCCTATAGCTCAACGGAGCTAGAGGGACAAGGTCCTTGGGGCAAAAGTTATTCAGTTTATTTTTTCTGCATAACAAGTTTTCAGTTATGATTTTTTAAAAATGAAAAACTACAATCGATTAAAAAGAATTAAATAAAAATAAATTAAAGAAAAGCAGGATTTTTTTTCCTCGTTCCTTTAGTGACTGATATAGAGTTCAAGAGTCCTAAAAATTTTGCACAGGTTTCTCTTTTTTTCTTCATCATCTTCTTCTTTGCTGTTTTTTTTCTTTTTTCTTTTCTTCGTCTTCTTCTATGCTTTTCTCTTTTCTTATTATTTTTCTTCTTCTTTTTCCTTGCTGCTTTTATATTTCCTTCATCTTCTTCTTCTTCTTCTTCAACTCCTTTTTATTTTTCGTTTTCTTCTTTGCTTCTTCATGTTCTTCTTCTTTTTGTTCTTTTTTTCTTCTTTGCTCTTTCTTTTTTTTCATGTTCTTTTTTTCCTTCTTCTTCTTCTTCTTCGGACAATTCGGCGGCAGTGGTCAGACACAGATAGAGATAGATAGATAGATAGATAGATAGATAGAGATACATAGAGAGAGAGAGAGAGAGAGAGAGAGAGAGAGAGAGAGAGAGAGAGAGAGAGAGAGAGAGAGAGAGAGAGAGAGAGAGA